GGGCTTCCTGGAAGCATATTTGGGCCTCCTGGGGTATTGCAGGGGCTTTGCAGGGTATGGTCTTTGCATAGTCTTTGCATGGTGGCTTTTGCATGGTCTTTGCAAGGTCTTGGCATGGGGGGCGGTGCAGTCGCCGGTCCGCGTCCCGCGGAGGGGGGCCCTTTACAAGACTACAGACTACAAAAACCCTGCCAAGCAGCACTTGGGCACATCATCCGTTTCCGCGACGGACCCCATTTCTCCAAATCGTAAGCAAATCGTAACCAAATCGTAACCATATCGGAACGTAACCAAATCGTAACCAAATTTGATATAGCGTAACCAAATCGTAACCAAATTTGAGATTTCCGTAACCAAATCATAACCAAACCACACTTCGTAATCAAATTCCGCGCAACCCAATCAAAACAATGCACCCCTCTCATACAAAATTGGTCCAACAAAAGGACGATTCGGTTACGCACGCGCACGCAACAAACCATTGTAACTTACAATGCTTTGGGCGCTTGATTTGGTTACGACGTCTTGTCTTCTAGGGTTAGTTGCGTTCGCGTGCCACGTTGCGAGCCGCTGCAACTGGCTGTAACATTCTTCGCCGTCCCTCGACGGCACCTTCCTCCTCCTCCTCCTCATTCCGCCGCTCCACCACTCGTCCTCCCCCTGCCACTAAAAGAATCCCTTTGCAAACCGTCACAAAAAAAAAACATGTTTGTCATCCTCTACAGGAGAAATCCTTGTGTAAGCCGCCACAAAGGAATCCTTCTGTCATCCACCACATCAGGAATACTTATGTAGTCCGCCACAAAAGGAATCCCCTTAGGAAGCCACCACGACAAGGAGTTCTTTGTAATTTGCAAGAGGGGTTCAATTTCTCATGTTTATCCTCCCCCCGCCTTCGCAGACGGAGTTGGTATGTCTATAGTTTCATGTGCTGGTCAGGTGCCCTTAGCATGGTTTTTCCCCTTCGTGTTGTTTATGTGGCCTCGTCCTGGGGCGGGGGGCGGGCGTCGCAGGAACGAAGGGCGTAAGAAACACATGGAAAGAAAAAACACAAAACATAAACAACAACCTAAAAAAACAACAAAAAAACGTGCCTGCGACAGGGGTTGACAAAGAAAACAAAAACCTTCGCCAGCGAAGGCGACCAGATGGAAAACCAAAAAAAAAAAACGAGGATGCGAAAGGGGGGAGGGTGTATTCCTGTGTTGCTTGGTGTTTCTCTCCCCGCCCGCGGTGGCTAAGTTGTTTTCCTCTGCCTCGTTCCGTGGCCTTCGCCATTTTTCCTCTGCCTCGGAGGAAAGTTTCAGGAGGGGGAAAAAGACACAGACACAATTAATCGTCGTTTCCCCAGAAAATATGCGAACATATGGGAAGTGGGGGGGAAGATAAAAACCCAGAAAATATTGGGGAATATGGGGAATCCTGTGATTAGTGTGTATTTATGTGTGTGTGTCTTTTCCATTTCCCCCCCCCCCCTAGGTTGTTTTCCTCTGCCTCTGGCTAAGTGCAAGCCAGGTCGCTTCGTGCCATAGCCTTCCTGTCTGTTCCCATGTTTGTTCCGCGGACTCGCCCCGGGGCGGGGGAGCGGGCGCCGAGGGAGCGGAAGGGCAGAACAAGTCAGAGGTCAGAGAAGGCGAGGGGAGAAGGATGGAGAGGAGGAAGGACGAGGAGGAGGGGGAGGAGGAAGGACGAGGAGGGGGGGGAGGAGGAGGAAGAGGAGGAGGAAGGAGGAGGGGGAGGAGGAGAGAAAGAGAGGAGAAGAAGAAGGAGGAGGATACGAAAAGCAGGGAGAGAGGCTGAACGAACGAGAGAGAGAAAGGAGAGGGAGAAAAGAAGAGAAGAGAAGAGAAGAAAAGGGATGAGAAAAGAAGAGAATAGAAAAGAAGAGAAGAGCAAAGAAGATAATGAAAGAGAAGAGAAGAGAAGAGACGAGACGAGAAGAGAGGAGGAGGAGGAGAGAAAGAGAAGAGGAGAAGAAGGAAAAAGGATACGGAGAGCAGGGAGAGAGGGTGAAAGAAAGAGATAGAGAGGGAGAAGAGAAGAGAAGAGACGAGAAGAGAAGAGAAGAGAAGAGAAGAGAAGAGAGGAGAGAGAGAGAAGAGAAGAGAAGAGAAGAGAAGAGAAGAGAAGAGAAGAGAAGAGAAGAGAAGAGAAGAGAAGAGAAGAGAAGAGAAGAGAGAAGAGAAGAGAGAAGAGAAGAGAAGAAGAGAAGAGAAGAGAAGAGAAGAGAAGAGAAGAGAAGAGAAGAGAAGAGAAGAGAAGAGAAGAGAAGAGAAGAGAAGAGAAGAGAATGAGAAGAGAAGAGAAGAGAATGAAGAGAAGAAGAGAAGAGAAGAGAAAGAGAAGAGAAGAGAAGAGAAGAGAGAGAAGAGAAGCAGAAGAGAAGAGCAAGAGAAGGGAGAAGAGAAGAGAAGAGAAGATGAAGAGGAAATGAGAAAGAGAAGAGAAAGAGAAAGAGAAGAGAAGAGAGAGAAGAGAAGAGAAGAGAAGAGAAGAGAAGAGAAGAGAAGAGAAGAGAAGAGAAGAGAAGAGAAGAGAAGAGAAGAGAAGAGAAGAGAGGAGAAGAGAAAAGAAGAGAAAAGAAGATGAAAGGAAGGGAGAGGAGAGGAGAGGAGAGGAGAGAAGAGAAGAGAATAGCGGGAAAAACCATAGACTAAAGGAGACGAGAAGAGAAGAGAAGAGAGTAGGGGAGAAGTGAAGAGAAGAGAAGAGAAGATAAGATAAGAGAAGAGAAGATAACAGAAGAGAAGGGAAAGGAAGGGAAGGGATGGGAAGAGACGAGAAGAGAAGAGAAGAGAAGAGAAGAGAAGAGAAGAGAAGAGAAGAGAAGGGAAGGGAAGGGAAGGGAAGGGAAGGGAAGGGAAGGGAAGGGAAGGGAAGGGGAATGGGAAGGGAGCGGAAGGGAAGGGAAGGGAAGGGAATGGGATAGGGAGGGTATAGGAAGGGAAGGGAAGGGAAGGAAGGGAAGGGAAGGGAAGGAATGGGGAAGGAAGGAAGGGGAAGGGATAGGAAGGGAAGGGGTAAGGGAAGGGAAGGGAAGGGAAGGGAAGGGACGGGCTCTTGGGGAAGGGAAGAGAAGAGAACGAGAAGAGAATGGACGAAGAGTTAAGAGAAGATGAAAGAGAAGAGTAAGAGAAGAGAAGATGACAAGAAGAGAAGAGTGTAAGAGAGAGAAGAGTGTAAGAGATAGATGAATAGGAGAAGTGAAGAGAGAGGTTAGAGTGAGAGAGAGAAGAGAAAAGAGAAGAGAAGATGAAGAGAGAAGAGAAGAGAAGAGAAGAGTTAAGAGATATGATGTGATAGAGAAGAGGGTGAATTGAGAAGAGAAGAGACGAGAAGAGAAGCAGAAGAGAGAAGTGAAGAAGAGAAGAGAAGAGAAGGGAAGAGAAGGGAAAGGAAGGGAAGGGAAGGGAAGGGAAGGGAGGAGAAGAGAAGAAATTAGAGGAGAAGCGAAGAGAAGAGAAGAGAAGAGAAGAGAAGAGAAGAGAAGAAAAGAGAAGAGAAGAGAAGAAACGAGAAGAGAAGAGAAGGGAAGAGGAGAGAAGAGGAAAGACGAGACGAGACGAGACAAGACAAGCCGAGCCGAGCCGAGCCGAGCCGAGCCGAGCCGAGCCGAGCCGAGAAGAGAAGAGAAGAGAAGAGAAGAGAAGAGAAGAGAAGAGAAGAGAAGAGAAGAGAAGAGAAGAGAAGAGAAGAGAAGAGAAGAGAAGAGAAGAGAGAAGAGAAGAGAAAGAGAAGAGACGAGAAGAGAATAAAGAGAAAGAGAAAGAGAAAGAGGAAGAGAAGGACAAGAGAAGAGAAGAGAGGATAAGAAAAAGAAAGAGAAGAGAAAGAGAAAGAGAACAAGAAAGAGAAAGAGAAAGAGAAAGAGAAAGAGGAATAGGAGAGAAGAGAAGAGAAGGGAAGAGAAGAGAAGAGAAGAGAAGG